CGTCTTTCCTTACTATAATGGACCATGATGTACAATATAGTAAAAAAGGTACAATGCAGATTTTCGTTTTTCGCAACTTCATCGTTCTTTTCCAGTCGTCCTGGAAAAGAAAAGAAAAATATGTAAGTGCATGTCGGAAAACACTCGTACGCGCGTGAAAACACAAAACGGGCGAAGAAAAAGGAAAACAAACTCATGCTCACGTAGTAGCGTAAAATAAGATTTTTATAATATCGTTATTTTTTGTTTTTTCTTTTTTGAAATAAAAAAAATAATAATATATAAGCATATTAAATTCGGGTTTTTTTTAAAAAAAATTACATATAGTATCAGGGAAAATCGAGGGGATATAAAATGTTAACTTGTGTCTTACGTGCAGTAATCGTTCAAGTGTTCTGGAAATCTTACTCTTCTTCCAGAAAGCGTTGTTTTGAGTTTATTTGCGGATTCTGTCGCAGTATCAACGTGTGTGTCTGCTGTCGATTGAGACATTATAGGCGCAGGAGTTGTGTCGTGCGATTGTATTGAAGGAACATCGACGTGAATAGGATTTCCTTCTAAATACGTTGCTTTGAGGCGATCGATGCTGATGCTTTCGTTGGTTCCGTTCTTATCTATTATGTAGTACTTAGATTCGCGTTGAAGAACTTTGAAAGGTCCTTTATATGTTGATTCGAGAGGTCGTCGATGCGAGTCTCGACGCACGAAAACGTGTGTACTATGTAGTAAGTCAGGTTGAACGAAAACATCAGTTGATTGTGGTCGAGTGGAAACAGGTTTAACTGAACGCATTGCGTTTGTAAGCCTGTTCGCGTAGGAGGTTAGATCCATGTCCATCGAAGAGGATGAAGGGTCTACGAACTCTCCTGGAAGTCGAAGGGTCGTACCATAAACGAGTTGAGATGCAGTGTATCCAATGTCAGATTTCACTGCATTGCGTATGCCTAGTAAGACGAGTGGAAGAGCGTCAGTCCACTGAGAAATGTTTGAGGCTGATAGTGACGCTTGTAGTTGTCGGTGAAAACGTTCTACTAATCCGTTTGCTTGTGTGTGGTAGGCCGTCGTTCGAAAGCGAGTGATTCCTAGTTTCATAGTCAGACAACGGAACAGTTCAGATTCAAACTGACGTCCACGATCTGTAGTAATGGTTGTTGGGCAGCCGAAGTTTGCTACCCACCTCTCGACGAAGGCGCGGGCCACTGTTTCAGCAGTAATATCTCTGATGGGTACTGCTTCTGGCCATCGAGTAAAACGGTCTACGCATGTTAAAAGATAAGAATATCCATTTGAATCTGGTAAAGGTCCTACCAAATCCAAATGAACATGATCGAAGCGAGCATCGGGAGTTTTAAACGAGCCTAAGGGACATTTGTTATGCCTAATAACCTTAGATTTCTGACAGCTTACACAGGAGCGTGCCCACTCACTCACGTCTTTATTCATACCAGGCCAGTAAAACCGTTCTGCTATAAGCTTGATGGTTGCACGAACACCTGGATGAGAAAGTCTGTGCAACGTATCGAGGACGTCGCGTCGATATTGTTTCGGCACGATTGGGCGATCCCTACCTGTAGATGTGTCACAAAGTAAGGTTTCCTTACCTGTTCCCATCTGTTTAATGCGCAGTTTAAGCGTTGTTGAGGCCAACTCGTGCTGAAGATCACTGTCTTCTTTTTGAAGTTGGGCGAGTTTTTAAAGGTCGATTCCTTGGGAACTGTTCAAGGAATTTATACGAGACAAGGCGTCTGCAACTACATTGTTTGCTCCAGAAATGTCTTGAATATCTGAAGTAGACTGTGAAATGTAGTCCAGTTGTCGAGACTCACGAGGTGAGTACTTGTCCGAAGAAGAGCTTAAGGAGAAAGTAAGTGGTTTATGGTCGGTAAAAATGGTAAATTCACGGCCTTCGATATGGTGTTGAAAATGTCGGACAGCACAATACATAGCTAGGAGTTCCCTACCGAATGTGCTGTGCCTCGATTCAGTGTCTAGCAACCGTCTAGAGAAAAATGCCAAAGGTTGCCAGGAGTGGTTAACCCATTGTTGTAAGACTGCTCCGATTGCTGAGTCGGATGCGTCTACTGAGATGCTAATGGGCGCTTTAGGGTCCTGATGAGCAAGCATTGCTGCTCAGGCGATATGTTTCTCAACTGTGGAGAATGCTTTTCGGGTAATGTCATCTACATTAATGGATTTCGCATTTCCACGAAGTTGGTCGGTAAAGGGTTTCATAAGTAACGCGCATTTCGGTATGAATCGTCTATATAAACTTACCAGACCGTTAAACGTGCGCAATTGCTTGATGGTGGTCGGTTCTGGGTAATCCAGAATGGCCGCCACTTTCGTTCTAAGGGGTCGAATGCCATGCGCATCTATAGTGTGTCCTAAGAAGTCTAAGGATTTGGTTCCGATTTGGCATTTCTGAATGTTTACGGTAATGCCATGTTTTTGTAGTCGGTCGAAAACAATGTCCAGATGCTGGAGATGTGATTCTCTGTCCGGACTTGCTATTAGACAGTCATCAACGTATGCATGTACGAAGTTGAGACCTCGAAAAACGTCATCTATGAACCTTTGGAAAGAGTGTGCCGCGTTTCTCAGACCGAAAGGCATTCGCAAAAATTCATAGAGTCCGAAGCGGTTTTTGGAATGTCTTCAGTGACCATAGAAATTTGGTTATAAGCTTTTACCAAGTCAATTTTTGAAAAGACAGTTGCACCTTTCAAGGTAGCTGTCAAATCGTGAATGTGGGGCAACGGGTAACGATCGGGAACGGTTTTTGCATTCAATCTCCGATAGTCACCAGTTGGACGCCAATCGTTGCTGTCCTTTTTAGGGACCATGTGCAACGGAGATGCCCATGGGCTATTTGACGGTCGTATGATTCCTAAGTTTATCATATGGTCGAATTCGTTTTTCGCCAACCTTAACTTTTCGGGGGCCAGTCGGCGTGCTTTCGAGAAGACAGGTGGTCCTGTAGTCGTGATGTGATGTGTAACATTGCTGGTTACACACGGCAATTTCGGTTGCGATTGGTAAATGCCAGAATATTTATCGAGTAGTGGTTGGTAGAAGGGGTCTGTAGTGTGCCTAACAGTGACTGGAAATAACCTGCAACCAGAAAAAGAAGTCAGGCAAACAGATAAATTAGTGTTTCCGTCTACTAACCTCCGTTTGCGCGTATCGATAATTAAGTTGTGGTGTTGTAGAAGGTCCATACCAATGATTGGCATAGAAACATCTGCAACAACAAAAATCCAGTGAATGGGTTTGCGTAAACCCACGTTAAGATAAACATACCTTTGACCATAAGTAGCGATAGGCTTTCCGTCTGCCGCCTGTAGATTTAAAACAGGCTCGTGTAGCCTGTCGTCGGAATTCGCTGGGAGAACGCTAACCTCTGCGCCAGTATCTACGAGGTAGCGAACTCTCGTTATCACATCAGTGACATATAAAAGACGGCTATGTTCGCCGGCTACGGTCGCCGTTAACGCGTGCCGGCTTGGAAGTTTCCCGAAACGTTCTTTGCGTCCACCTATTTCGCGTTGGGAAAGTTGCAGGGTTTTCTGCAATTTCTGGCGGACTTTCCGTACTGGTTATGGTACCAGCACCAATCAGGATCATCCGTCTCTCGAGTTCTAGATACGGATCGCCTACGTGATGTGCTTCTCCGCGGAGTAAGTGATCGTTTACGGTCGTTACCGAGTTTGAGATAACGCGTAAGTGTATGACATAACTGTGTTATGTCATTCTGGGTCGTTTGAGGCTTTTCTTTGACTGAAAAAACCTCGGCGTCAGAAGATCTGGTGATTTCGAGAATGCAGTTGGCAGATGCAGCTAGCTCGTCTACGGCGTTGTTTTGAAACGAGACCAAAACAGCTTGCACCTGTTGAGGAAGTTTGGATAAGAAAATTTGTTTGAATAGGCCGTCATCCAAGGTTCTTTGGCCAATGACTTCTCGCATTCTTTGCAACATGTCTGTGGCAGAACCGTGTTGCAGGTCGATGTTGTTGAGGAGTTGGTCTAACCTTTGTCGATCGGTTAGATCTCCGCGTTTAAGGATGGCCTGTTTCAGGGTTTGGTATGGATCAGAAACATCACTAGTATACATACTAGGTGTAACGTACCTGTTAAATTCGCGCGGTAGTGCCTTGACTACTGCGAGGAATTGTGTGCGCGTATCGTTCACAACCTGCTCGAAGAAGTCGGCTTCTGCATAACAAAACCAGGCTTCGATGTTGTCTGGCCAGAAAGGCATAAGTTGGAAAGAGGGTGGGGACACAGTCTTTAACTTAAATACTTTAGGGGTCTGTTCAGTCATAGTAATATACCAAGTACGAGAAGTGAACGAGTGGCAAATATATATATGAACCCAAAAACACGGAAAAAAAATATCACAATGTAAAAAAAAGAAATTAAAACAAGACAATGATATATAAAATCACAAAAAGGAACAGACTCACAGTTTACAATATGGTGTATCAGATCACGTCGGGCTCACCAATGAAGATGCCACAGGTATTCGGAGTTTGACAACGCTTTAACCAGTAACACCTTCTAATACGAAGCGCACCCACCAAGTAAAATCAAAAGACAGAAGCGAGGAGATCGAAGATATATTTGATAAGCTATCAATATATCGAGGATCGTTTGCACTAATCTGGCTAGCGATTGTGACAGATGTTGAGCACGGCGTTCCCACACGTGATCTGGTGTGGATGCTTGACCGAGCGCCTTCAGCTAGATGAGTCCATTAAATCTGTGGTCAGCATCCAATGTCGAGAACTTACAGAGCTATTTGATTTTGGGGAATTATTTACCGCTACACCATTAAACTAATAGCTGAGAATAATCCATCACATTATTGCAAACTGGAAGCTCAATAAGATGTCTTTTGCAGTATAAGTTTAGTAATACTGTGAACGTTGAAAGTTGATTTTAGAGCTGGGAAATTATTTTCTAGTTTTCTTTGCAATATCTTCGCCATAAGAACAGTTTACTGAGCGGGCCAATCGAGTACACAAATCAGGTTGTCGAGTTTCGTCTGATGTTTGTTTTAAGTGGCTATGCCCACTCGCCGTAAAAATGTTGACTTAAACAGACTGAAACGTTCTTGTAAACGAAGCAAGGTATTCGAGTTACTATCTTTAGCGTAAGTATTCAAAATATTTTCAACTATCCTCAGTTACGTCCAATACCTCCTGATATTCACAATATGGGGAGTACTGTTCGTAGTAAATCAATCAACGGACATGAGGTTTGAGTACTTTTGGCCTGTTTGGCTATCTGTGTGCTCGATACATGACTCACTGAAGTTTCAAGGACTGGTAAATATTATTCCTGTTCATATTTCACATGCAGCAATACACAATTGTCTTTATTATTATTTTGATTACAGTTGATCTAATGTGTTTCTTCTTGGTCCCTGTATCATGGGTTTACACATTCGGTAGTGCGTATGTGTGGTTATACCTTTTGCGACATACTGGTTAGTGTGATGACTAACCGAATAATAAAAATTTCAGATCAAGGGTTGTGTTTCCTCACTTTGTCGCTGTGTTTTGTTTTCATATATTTCGAATTTAGTCTCTACACAAAAGCGACGAAATCTACTCACAGCATTTATGTTTTTCGTCCGTTTGCAGCACACAGGTATGATCAAATTAGTGTGATTAAACGCCCTTAGTATTGGCTACTCGGTAGTCTGTGTGGGATTTTCTCTAAAACGGTACCTGGATATCAGCTATCGAGATGTAGGTACATTTCAAGCTTTATATGGGATGTTTAGTTTAAAAGAATGAATGTTAGAAGGCAAAATTACTTGCATTTTCGAATTCTTTATGAAGCTCTCCCACCGTCGTTGGTAAATGACAATGCTTGTAAGTTTCTGTTACATTCAAACATACTTGAATCAGACGTTCAGCATAGCCTTGATTATTTTCAAAAGGATTCCCTAGAAGTTCATGATGTTGCAATGTCTGATGATGTGAGTTCTTATCTCATTTTTTTAAAACCTCATTACTCATTTACTTTTAATATCGTAGTACAATTTTGAATGTATAGATTATATACAGCTATATATTTCAATGGTTTACCAACCTCTAACTGATCATAATGCTCTACGAATAAGCAAGACTTGCATCATTTAAATATTTACGTGAATAAGGATTCTGCCTTTGACAAGATAAAACGGCTAGAGGTTTCAAGTGATCCGTTCTACCTACCAACGAAATTGAAAATCTATAGCCAACTTTGTGCAGTGAGGATTATTTGTTCCTGATGAGTAAATGTTAATTGTCTTAAAGATTAGGTCCCCGACCATAATAACTCATTATTAGTTGACGTTTGTTAGGTAAACAAAATGTTATTCTTTTTCAATCTTATAGAAAGGGACGTAATCTCCCTCATAATAACAATATAGAGTCGGTTAGGTTTTTTGTTATTGTCTAAAATATTAGCGTTAATAATCATTAGATGCCTAAATTGAGATCTGCAACAGCAAACCCGAGAAAACAAATTCAGTTCAGATTTAGCCTTAACTATGTAGTTTCAGTCATTTGTTAAAGTGTAACGCTTTAGTCAATACGCCAAATACCACGTTACAGCGACAATATTCTGATTTACGCCGCATGGAGGGTTCATTTTAGGAGGTTTAAGCCTTCCAGTATGATTCGGATCTACGGTCACTGACTTCCGAAAGAAGTGATATTTTCTGGTTTGTTCATTGTTTACCTTTTTTCAACACGACCTAACTCGTTTTGCGCCTATAACTTATAGTTTGTCTAGACATTTGCTGTGTATACCAACGGTCTTCCCTTCCGAATCCGTCTGTTTGTTACCAATCAGAACACTAAAACGTCATCCAAGTACCTGATGTTCTTTTACTTTTATTTTAGACTCATAACTCGTGATTAAAGACGTAGAATCCAAGCTCACAACATTGACTAATGAATCCCAATAGGTATACAATTCGGATAGTTGTGACAAAAAGTTGAGTCACAGGTACATAGTCCACTAACTGTTATTTTCGAACTGTTACAGGCAACCCAACAACTTATCGGTAAGACCATAGCTCTCTCGTAAATGTTTAGTTTATTTTCTGCACAATTTGCAACTTGAGCAAGTAAGTCGTTTGTCAACAGGTATTGTTCTCATTCGTCCTTAGAGTTTCATATGACCACATTTTAAGATCCCATTCTAAGAAGAGATGCTCAACCGTCCTTCATTTTTACCCATAGTTGTATAATTTGAGTTTCGAAATCATTTCATACTTTTGATTCCACGAATTAGCCATATTTTTTTTGAAAAAAGATTCCCTATGTCTAATATTTTTTTCACTTCAACTTATATTACTACTACTTCCACCACCACAACTACAACCACTTTTACATTCATCCTGGTAATTTCCCCCCACCATGCTGACGTGGTATAGGAAATTGGACCGACGCAAATGCATACCAGGTTCTACGTTGCTGATGACCAGCTGAATAATAACCCACGTGACAATTGTCATAAAGTCAGTGCCTGATAGGAGAAGTGTTCTAACTTTTGTCTAAACTTAATACAAGCCGCGTGATCTTCGTTTGTGGAAGAGTTCCAAGAAAGCATCACCATTGAGATAATGAATAAAGTTTGTAGCTCAGATGAACGCTATTAGTGACGCTGAGTCTTCCGACCCAAATGGCTTAGTTGCAGAGCATCCATCGTCATTCTAAACAATGTCTTCAGCACATACATGAAGTATACTGGATTTACGTTGTCAAAATGTCACTCGAATTCTCTAATAAAAACCTTAGAATTTTTGTTTGAATACTGAAGTATTCTGTTACATAACTACACATTGAAGCTTCAGTATTTGAAGTAACTTCGAAGGTCTTTGGTAGGACGTCTACACTATGTTGTTGCGGCAGTTACTAAGTGCATATACAAGTCGTTAAACTAGATAGTCAAGGCTTAAATTCATTAGATGATTTGAGAAACTTCTGTGATCACGTTCGTATGACATAATTTCTAGCCATTTTTTATTTCGTGTTAGATATTTTTGCATTCATTTATCAATAGAAGGATGAGCTTTTCTGGACACTCGTGTAGCGTTTAGCATCCAACGAATTACGTTGTGAGCTGTCATCTCTCAACCACTTCTCATTGATATATTTGATTGATTAGATTTCCAATTATCAGACTTTATTTTTAATGCTAATGGTCGTGTTTTTCATTTTTTGGAATATCTTATTTTACGTTTACTAGTTCTCATCAGATTTTTCTAGTCGATCGGTATTCATACTTTTTCGCTTTGGTCAGTCGTGTTTTGGTCGTTTAGTTCGATGGACTTTCAGCTATCTTAGATCTGTTGATAAACAATACTTGGATTTTGATAGGTATGCTTTACCTGTTTTATCACGTTGGTATTTTATAATCTCATAATATAAGCTATATACTCTACTTGAATTAAGGAATGTTTTTCGACTGGTGTATATTAAATTGTTTATAAAATATTCGTGGAACCATAACGCATGTTATTCTTTAGACTTAACATCTTGAAATTCCATCAAAGAGATTGAGTCGTTCATTTTTCTGTCGAGCACGTATAACAACTGTTGGGAATGGATGAATACTGGCCCAGTGGTCTAAAAGTTAAGTGTTCGCGCGCGAGACCGAAGACCCTGGGTTCGAATCCCGTGAGCGGGACCGTGGATGCGCACTGCTGAGGAGTCCCACAATATGAGGTTCGTAAAAGTTTCCACTTCCAGAGCTTCCTCATGAAGTTTGACTTGGTTGGTATTCGCTTTGTATTTTAGGATATTGCTTTTTCTCATGTGAATGTTAAGGCCTACTGCTGTAGAGACTGCTACTACTTTGGCTGTCTTCACACGTGCTTGTTGCTGTGAATGGGATAGAGCGGCTAAGTCATCTGTGAAGTTCAAATATTACTTTATTATTTATTTGAACACATAAATATTGGTACATGGGGGCACCAAATATATATGCGCCACACAAAACAATGAGAATTTATAGAGGAGAAAAAAAAGGTAATGAACATAGGGAATTATAAAAAAAACAAAAATGAGGGAAACGGAAAGGTACAATCAGAGGAAATCTTACAGTTAAGGAAGAAGCAACCACTCTTTACGAAGAAATTAAAAGAAGGTTACAACAGGATCACCATTGGCTTCTATTCTGAGCCATATCTGATAACGTCTCTATCTACTGTGTTACACCATCTCTCGGACCCCAGCCAGGGAGTCGTTCCACTCGATTAATTGTGTCGCCATTTGGTCGATGCATAGTCGATCCTTAGAAAATCCAGCACGTTTGTCTAGAAGTTGAACCTGTACTGAATCTTTCATTCGGTTTAACAACACCGTTGAAATTATTTTCTGGTACTGATAGTAGTATGATGCCTCTTGCCCTCGCATGTGCTAAGATCTACTTTCTCCTGTATCTTGATGAGATATCTCTTTCAAGTCTGTCAGAACTTGTTTGTTCTTCCAAATCTTTCTGAAGAAACATTGGGGCATCTTTGCAGTTAATTCTATGTCGGAATTCAGTGCTACATCTGGTTTGGTGTCCAATCCTGCTCCTTTATCATTATTTTTTTTTTATGGCCATGCTGGTTTTTCTAATGTTAGTGCGACAACATCTGTAGGGAAGTTTGTGTGTACTGCTTCAATGTCCAGCGGGTGTTGTTGGGCTGATCTGTTTTAGAGCTTTGATAATATTGTACTCTCCTATTCCGTTGCTCTTGAATTTCACAGTTTATTTTTAATTTTGTTCTTGGTTGGTTGCTCTCGTTTACCATATTTTCCTTCTAACTTCATCGTACCGTATGGTTGTCTCATGTCTCCTTCTCTTTCAGCGTTTTTCTCTGTCATTGCTAGGCCTTCTAAAATATTTCCGTTTGTAGCCCTAGTGCCACTCCTCATGTGATTGTTTGCTTCTGTGTATTCGCCCTGTGCGTTGGCTTCCTTTGTTCTTGTTCGGCTGTTGTTGGTTTCTATTTCCTCGTTTTTCCTCTCTCGAATCCTGCCCAAGGTATTAATAGAGATTCACCCTTCATACTGATGCTTCTTATGGTTCAGTACATCCCTAACAGTGTTGAAGCTATTGCTACTTTGATCTGTTTTCAGTTGTTCTCTATAGTGATTTCCTCCTCTCATAGTAGATCTTGTAAGGCTTGAAACCTGTTGTTGAGAGCTATCTTAAATTTGCTAAGTTCACCAGTAACTCTAAGGAAAGCTGTATTAGACTTTTATAATGCTGTTTTTCCAATTGTCCAGTGCTTCATTAGCTTTAGTACCAAGTGATGATTTTAAGCGATATCAGCTCTTTTTATTCTTACGTCTTCTATGAACCTTCTGAACTTTTGACTCATACAACCGTGATTGATCTGGTTCACAGTGCTACTAAAAGAAACACCAATCCCTTTCTTATTGTTCCTTTGTCTTGTAGTCACTATCAATAATAGGAACGTGTAAATGATGTTGGTCACACTAGCTAAACAGCAAGTAAATTACTGTTTTCAGAGGTCATTATTTATTGCCTTGATTCTTTTTATTTTTCCTGAAACCGCTATTGAATACGATTCGCTGCTTTTTTTGTCTGAAAGTTCTCCCCATGAATGTAGAAAAAACTCAAGCTTAAATGGGTACGCCACACTGAAGCATTGATTGTTATTATGTGGTATTTAAAACTTTTAGTTCTGTAATTTTCAGAATATGATGCAAAGTGACTTTAATTCTTCCTCTTATTCTGGTTATGACTTCCTATCACAAATGTAACCGAAATAATCTTATTGAAAAACAATAACAAACAGTCGGAGCAATTTTTTTCATTATGGTGTAACATTTTGGTCCTTTCTGTAAATTACAATAGAACGAATTCCCAGTAGTGCAGTGCTAGTTTATTACATCTTACATAGACCAATTAAGTTCTAAAACACCGTGTCTATAAGTCTGCTATTAATCACCAGGATATTCTGTTTTCTGAACAATTTAAGAAGCATAATGATTTAAATATATCATATTAGTAGACAAATATCCTTGCCTTGCATTTAAACTTTACGACTATGTCTATTTCGTGTAATATATGTTTTCTGTCAAGTATTTTCAATCATTCCACATGCTATACTTACAGTGGAACTGCACGTTTTAACCATTCCTCGACTACAATAGTAAATGGAGTAATATCAAATACATGTGTTGCTGATGCTGGACGACGTCGAGCTGTACAGTGCCTTGAGTCAAGTCCGTCCGGATCACAAATTAGTCGTCGATATACCACAGAGAATTCAGTGAACCTTTACTCTAATTCTAAACCTACAGTTAATGGTTGTGTTCCTAAGCAATCTAGTGGTGGGAAACCAGGACGTGAACGAGGTGCTAAGGAAGATCCAGTAACAAGGTATGCGAATTCGTGTTAATGGTCTTTAGTCTTTTTGCATCTTTCATATGAATCACTACAACGTTTGGAACGTGTTTGACAGTCATTCTGTCAAATTTGTGGGCTATAATTCCGTCTGTAACTAGTTATTTCACGTTGTAGTTTTTATTTATCTACTCTTTTTGTGCAATTAACTTAATCGAATTAGTTAAAAATCTCTATAGTATAAATTCCTATTCACTGCGTGTCTTTATTTATTTATTTGGACGCATAAATATTAGTACAAAGGGGCACCGAATACATATGAGCCACACAAGTCACTTGATTTGTGTGTGGGCTATGATACTGTCCGGTTGTTTAAACTGAGGCAGGTGGTTTATTAGGGGACCACATCCGGAGCCTTCGACCTAAATGTCTAACCCACAAGGCAGTGGAGCAACGTAAGGAGATTCAGTCCCATGGTAGCCGGTGACCAATAATTGGTTCATACTCCATTTGCTCCCTCGGGATCCTGGAGCCCATGTGCACCATTGGTTTGGAATCGGGGTTTATTTAACTCACCTAGTTGAACCTTTCTTGTTCACCAACCCTGTTACTCTGCCCTCAAATGCCCTGGTATGGCCGAGAGTGGGTGGGTTCGCCCTCCCTCTCGAAATAATCTCACACGGCCACGCGTATATAGCCTCTGCCAGGGAAGTCCTACTCACTGCCTTCTCGTGGCGAGGTTGTTGTTTACAAAAATGAGAGGACGAAAAGCGAATGTCCGGCGCTATAAACGAATCCCAAATCAATGGTGCACATGGGCTCCAGTATCCTGCGGGAACAAATGGCGTATGAACCAATTTCTTGGTCACCGGCTTCCATGGGACTGCATCTCCTCACGATGCTCCACTGCATTGTGGACTAGACCTTTAGGTCACCATTCCTCTTCAACTTTGCCATCGATGACATTCTGGAAACAGCTCTGATGAATGTAAGTAATGGTGGTGTGGATCTGTTGCCTGGAGAAAGACTTCTCGACCTTGAGTATGCGGATGATATTGTCTTACTGTGCGAGAATGTTCAAGCCATGCAATCCACAGTTAATCAGTTGGCGATCAATGTCCGTAGGTATGGTATGTGCTTTGCACCCTCGAAGTGCAAAGTACTTCTACAAGACTGGCAGGATTCTAATCCTGCACTCACTGGATGGTGAGCAGATAGAAGTAGTCGAGAAGTTCGTGTATCTGGGTAGCTGCATAAGTGCTGGTGGTGGCGTGAGTGATGAGATCAATGCCCCCAAATGCCCTGGTACGGCCGAGAGTGGGGAGAGTCCGCTCTCCCTCTCGAAATGCTCTCACATGGCCATGCGTATATAGCCTCTGCCAGGGAAGTCCTACTCACTGCCTTCACGTGGCGGGGGTGTTGTTTACAAAAATGAGAGGACGAAAAGCGAATGTCTGGCGCTTTAACCGGACCCCAAACCAATGGTGCACATGGGCTCCAGTATCCTGCGGGAACATATGGCGTACGAACCAATCGTTGGTCACCGGCTACCATGGGACTGCATCTCCTTACGATGCTCCACTGCCTTGTGGGTCAGACCTTTAGGTCAAAGGCTCGGGGTGTGGCCCCCTAAGAAAACCACCTGCTTCGGTTTGGGCACCCGGGCAGTATCACAGCCCTCACACAAATCAATTGAGATTTGTGTGGCGCATATGTATTTGGTGCCTCCCTGTACCTATACTTATGTGTTAAAATAAATAAATAATAAATAACGTATAGTGAAAGCCAGAGCGGCTTATGCCAATCTGGTCCATCTTTGGCACCTTCCTGATGTTAGTCTGGCTGTAAAAGGTCGGATCTACAACGCGTCGGTGAGAGCAGTTCTGCTCTATGCTTGTGAAACCTGGCCTCTCCGAGTTGAGGATGTTAGACGATCATCGCTGTCTCCGAAGGATTACTGACATCCAGTGGCAACACTATGTCAGTAATGCAGAGGTTTTGCATAGTGTGTTCGGGCACAGAGACGATAATGAAATTGGTGTCACCATCTTGAAACACCGACTTCGGTGGCTTGGACATGTTCTACGAATGTCGTCCCAAAGAATTCCACGTCGTGCATTATTTGCCGACTCTGGGACTGGTTGGAAAAAGAGGAGAGGTGGTCAGTGTATGATATGGTGTCGTGGTATGAAAGAAAGCTGCAAAGAGCTGGCTTCTGTTGGTTTTTCACGACTCCCTGGCTGGGGTCCGAGAGATGGTGTAACACAGTAGATAGAGACGTTATCAAATATGGCTCAGAATAGAAGCCAGTGGTGATCCTGTTGTAACCTTCTTTTAATTTCTTCGTAAAGAGTGGTTGCTTCTTCCTTAACTATAAGATTTCCTCTGATTGTACCTTTCCGTTTCCCTCATTTTTGTTTTTTTTATAATTCCCTATGTTCATCACCTTTTTTTTTCTCCTCTATAAATTCTCATTGTTTTGTGTGGCGCATATATATTTGGTGCCCCCATGTACCAATATTTATGTGTTCGAATAAATAAATAAATAATACACTTGCTTTTCGTCCTTTCAATTTCGTAAACAACACCCACTCCGCGAGGTAGTGAGTAGGACTTCCTTTGCAGTGGCTGTGTACGCGTGGCCATGTGAGAACACTTCGAGAGGGAGAGGGAACTCTCCCCGCACTCGGCCGTACCAGGGCACCAACTAAAGAACTTTCGAAGCTACTTAGATATGTTGTATTCTATACTACTCGTTAATTTGCTCTAGAATCGTTTAATTTATTTCATTGGATCAATTCTGTTCCTGTTGGTGATAAATTTTATTCACCATGAAGAATAACAGAATTATAAACCAAGAAATCAAAATAACGTGTAAAATCTAATTAATTTAATTGTGTGGATTTTTTTCAGGGTAACATTTACCATGTAACCTTATTTTGAGGCCATTATATCTTATAGTTCGATGGTTCAGCTCGTTAATTACTGGACGATTGGGATTCTCCTCATACAAACACAAACGAGTGGGGACTCTAACAAACCGGACTTATATCACTTCAAAATTGATAATCCATAAGATAGAGATGACAGGATTTTTAGTATAGTTTTATACCCCTAATAGAAGTAAAAGATTGAAGTACAACAACTCTTTCTATAATAATGTGCAATTATTTCCAACATGTGATAAAGCAAACTAAAAAGAATAACAACCGATAAGGTAACAGCTAGGGTTATCGCAGAAATATGAACTATAAAGTTGCCATCTTGTTTATCCTCTGAAGAAAGAACTGACTTGTACTAACAAATACCTATACAACCTAATTTCTCGCTAGCAGAAAAGAATGACCTTGATTGTTCAAAATAATACGTTTTATTGATTATTTGCATACTGTTGTGTAGTGTACTTTATCTAACATCTAATGTACACTTTTCTGATATTTTTACAATAGATTAGAGAGTAACGTTAGACGTCTCCGTTCCGAATTACAGTCCATGCGTGGACTGGAAACACAATTGCGTAACCAGTTAAACAGTCTTCAACATGACGATCAGCTCAATCGACTCAGTTTGTCCAACCAACGTCAAGAGAACGAGGGTATTTCATCACGTATTTCAAAGCTAACTAATAAATGCCGTACTGAACGGGTTAATTTAAACACAATTGAGCAAAATTTAGGTGAAGAAGTTCGTTTGCGTCAGTTGGTTGAAGCTCAACTCACTGAAATAGGTGTAATTCCTTTGCGTAGTTTTGTGGGATCAAATGATGCTAATAGTGTACCTAGCAATTCAGCTGAAAAGAGTATCCCAACATCTATATCCCTTATTCAGTAAGTAACTGCTAAAGAATCTAGTGTTTCGTTCTTAAAATTCCTAATTGTTTCTTATTGGGGTTGGATTTAAAAGTATATAATTAGAGTCAAATGGTGTGATAAACAGTCTATCCAGAACAAGTTTATGGGTTGTAAGCTGTCATCCACCTTACCTCCTAATTCAAATTTTGTGGTGCTTAGAATTTAATACATCATCAGTATGAGCATTTGTAAAGTTACGGTTAGCGTTATTCTTAACAGTAGAATATTCCTCATTGTTCGCTAAATCTCCATTTCATGTCTCCCTCACCCCTATTCAAGAAAGTATTAACAGTAATTTTTCAGTTCAAATTTGACTACTTTTGCAGCTTACGGTAGCTGTCAAAACCCACTCGACAGTGTATTCAGTATCCTGAAACCATTCAAAAGAATAAATCAAGCTGCTCTGTGATTAAGATGTTACGCTTCACCTACTAGAACCGCAGTTAAATCACGAGTGTGTTCTTATATGTGGAGCGGCAGTTTCGTGAAGGGGTAAATGAGGTGACTTTTAGTACAGCACAAGCTCGAACCTCTGTCTGGGCAGCTGGTTAGTTGCACTAACTGCATGAAACATGTATGATTCTAAGCCGAGTATAATAATCTGTACTTCAAATCTACCTTTTTCTGGCTTTTTTGATTGTTTCGACTTGGCCATAGCTCCTACTGTGATTAGACTCCCCCATCATGACGACCTAATCCGTCTATATTGACTCGAACAATTGTTTTTCTGTGTTCCATTATACCAGGGAGGTTGATTGGATAGCGATAAGACTAAAAATACCAGGTTTAAAATCGTGCGTATTGACTAGAGCTTGGTACAGCGATATAGTAGCAGGCAACATGGCTTAGAGTTTTTAGAGCTAATACTACAAAAATAGCTACACTAAAATGTGAATGACCAGCCTGTCATTTTTTCTATGGGTTCTGTAAATATGCCCTCAAACTATCGACGTCATCAATTATAAATTCTTTCCGGTCGCGATTTAAGCAGTTGCTAAGCTTCAGAGAAAGCGTTGTTCAGAATCATCTGAACATATTAAGCAAAAATACAAAAAATGTTTGGCATGGGAGTTGACCAGCCCCCAAATGCAATATGCTAACTCAAGAACGGTATGTATCAATGCGTAGTGTATGTATACTGAGTGTTTTGATTAGATTGTTTATCGTGCAAGTCGCACCAATAATGATAAGCTGGTGGCTGACGAAACTTCGGCACGAATACAGATTGTTCTTTTAGTTTCTACTAACTCGTACCACATCTAACGCAGGTGAGACATCTCTCTGAATATCAAATAGCAAGTATACTGTACAGTAGTTCGTTTCGGGTTAATCATAGCTTTAATACTTGGGCTGTCATGTTAAAAAACAAACATAGGCTAAAAACGTTTGGTCTCAGATCGCTAGCAATCAGTTTAACAATATTTTCTCATTAATTATTTACGTCTAAAAGCTAATGATCTTCGAGATCTTAACATGTATCATAGTCTACAAAAAAACTTGCTGGTTAAATCCTTATTTAAATCTGACTTTTTGTTTTATTTTATTTCCTTTTCGATTTATATAGAGCGTCTTCTAATAATGACTCGTCGTCTAATTCTAATGTCGTAATACTTCAACCAAGCGAAAGTGAAAAAATAGTAGATAATTATTGCTGTAGACTACGCCAACTACTAGAGTCAAAGATTTATGCACTTAGATTAACTGTGAAATATCGTGAAAACTTAACACTAGCTTCCAAAATGCACCATTCGGGTCAGCTGGTTTCCAAGTGTCTAACCAATACAAACTTAAAGGTTGTAGACACTTCAAATCATGATAACAGTGTTCATCAATATGATTCACAATCGTTGTCATGTAGACTTCAATCCGGACATTTTATAACCAAAGATGTTTATTGTTGCATTTTGAACTCAGATGTAGAAAATTTGCATAATGTTGCTATGATTGGTCAACATACGTCGACAAATAACCATAGACATGCATTTTTAGAAAATTGTTTCAATTTAGCTAATGAGAAACGCGAACGTTTGGCAAATAAATTACGTACAGAGAATTGGCAAAAACAAGAATTACTCACATTATATCACACATCTGTACGGGAAATAACTGAACTCAATAGTAAGTTTGTCTTAGAATTTTAGGATGAATTTTTTTGAACTTTTGTGGACTTTTAACTTTGTGTAACTTTTTATACATTCCTTCAAACAGTTTAATCCTCTTTATGTGAATTTCCCATCAAGTGTGTATTAATTACGACAATAAATAGGAAGTTTATTTATTCTTGTTTAGTCAGTGGTTTTTTAATCGTACATCAATGCACTTAAGTAAAATTTATTGTGATGTTTTTCATCTTAGTTCTCTTATATAGGTTCAATTTATTGTTCGGATAGAATAAGCTTCATAGGACAATTTGTGTAATCCGCTTAAGGTTCTATGCTGAAATCCACTAGTTCCAAACTGACCTCTTGTTTTATTGCAAACTATTCTTGATATAAACTAATTACTATCCAAAATGGTTGGTAGTCACTATTGTTTTTTATTTATCGATATTATATCGACCACCACTCATGGTTTTAATTATGCAAAAACCATTATCTAATAAATTGTTTTATCCTACTGAACTACGTTACCCTATCAGGTATGCACAAGTACAAAACATTAAACCACTTACGGAAACATTTTGCGTCAGATCTGAGCATAAACGAACATCAACTGGAGGTAAGAATAGTCGTTTTTCTTCAGTTCGAAACAGTTTAATTCTGAGCACTAGTTAACTCTGTATGATGAATTGACCAAATTCGGAAAATATACATCATTCGATTCCAGTTCTAGCGGAACAATATCCTGTTCATCATAAAAATTTATCATTTTTAATTCAATTTAGTGTAAGATAATGAGTGTTCGTTGCTTATGAGTTCCAAACTAAGTTGAAACAGCTATCAGTTGCAGTATTCTTTTAGACGACTTTTCAATAGATGTCATCCAGTGATGAAAATGTAAACATAAGTTTAGAGAATCGATTAAGTAAAACACAGGTAAATGAAAGTGTTATAATTCTCTCTTACGGTTATAACTCAGCAATTCTTATTGCTTAGTATTCTCGGACATCAGTTCACTCGACAAGTTCCTAAACCAGAACACGGTTGAACAGGAAAGAGATCATATTCCGAATAACAAGGTTAGATGGAAGTAAGAAGCACAATAGGAAAAACGTTAGTATATTTATAGTTTTTACATGAGAATATTTCTAGAGTATTCTCAAGTATCGACTAGCGCTGATTGGGCAAGAATTAACCTATCAGCGTGCACCAAAGCAATCGTGCATTGAGCATGTTTTAATCCAATCTATGTCTCTCTAACAGAAAGGATGGTTTCAGCTGAATAATAAACTTTCTACTGTCTCTTTCTGGACACATTAATCTTGATTCGAATTTTCTGATTATTACTGATTTGGCAAACTGAAGAGAAGTTGTACTTTTTGTCTGCTGATTATTTTGAAGGACTTAGAAGTGTCAGTAATATGCCCGCTACCAATCTTTTTCACTGCGTAGAGTTGCTGCACCTCCCAGTTTCAAATTGTTTAGAGCATACTCTTCAAATCTTGTATAGTTATTACGTAACCCGTTTAACTAATTTCGACTTCTCGTTGCTCTGTTATATATATTTGTGATGTGAAACTTCAAGTCCTCTATAGTTATTACAGTCCATCTTATCAGTCTCCAGACTCCACATAATTACTGCCACAATCCTTTGTATTTTTGAATTCCATCTGTAAATGACCTTACATTCGTTTATATATATTGTTGGTAATTTCTGTTATTCTTATTCGTTTCATCATCAATATTGATTACTCTACATTATATCATATCTCACTTTGATGCGAATACGGTTGTAAGGAGCTGTTGAGAAACCCCAAAAATAAAATGAATTGAAATCATTCTGACTCAATTTTTGCTTTGAGCTTATTCAAATTCATAAAGTAAACCAATTGCACTGAAATAGTATTATGTTTTTGTAAAAAGCTGATTACAATTCTAGTTTTATTCTTGGAAAACATTATGATATGAAGGTAACTGAAGAATTAATTCCAGTCATAACCACTGATTAAATAATTTTACATGCATCCATTAAAAACGATATCTTAATTATTTACACAGGGAAATAATTGTTCAAGTAAATTCATAATAGTCTATTCTCGATTTGTAAAGTTGTTTTTCCCCAAGATTACTGTTGATTATAATCTCTAGTGGACTTCTCCACCAAGATTATTACATTCACCTGGGCTCTCAATAAGTACACACGGGATTTTTTACTGGGTTTTCTTAATGTCTATTAAGGCTCATCTTAGAATATTTCCCATGAAACAATGAAAAGGATTAATAAATCTGAATTTCAAACAGAGAAATTGATTTAAAAGTTTAATGTATGAAAGACGGTAAGATTAAGCTGAGAAGTATCAGTTAATGCAACTAATGTAATTCAGGCCCTCAAGAGCAGTAACTAGCATAACTATAGGAAATCTTTCGTGCACTCATATTACCTTGTTGTTTTTAAATTACTATTATCAGAGTATTCACATAGTATACGATAAATTAACAGGTTAGCTGACTGTAAATAAGCTCGTCCGATACACTTGCTTTTATGGTAGAGAATATTTGTAGCTTAGACTAAGGATGTTGGAGATGTGGTCTGTGAGCTAGATAATTTAGTTGTCAAGTTTTCATTGTTCTTCTGAACAATGTCATCGGTACGTTGTTCAAAGAGTGAGCTATTAGAATTTATACACATTTGACAGCCTGTCCTGTTGACTTAGGATTTGGTTGGTTGTCATCTATAACTGTGTTGCTGGCGTATTTGTCTTGGCTGTTCTTCTCTTTTGACTTTGCGGTTGTTATTCCTTTCACTTATTGCCTGATAGATTGAAATCGACCAAATCTATCAGGCAATAAGTGAAAGGAATAACAACCGCAAAGTCAAAAGAGAAGAACAGCCAAGACAAATACGCCAGCAACACAGTTATAGATGACAACCAACCAAATCCTAGGTCAACGGGACAGGCTGTCAAATGTGTATAAATTCTAATAGCTCACTCTTTGAACAACGTACCGATGACATTGTTCAGAAGAACAATGAAAACTTGACAACTAAATTATCTAGCTCACAGACCACAATACCAAGTTATTTATATGTAAGACAATCATAGTTTAAGTAAATGAATTTTTGCCGGATAATAGAGTTCAAAGTTATAGCTTGTGTAGCACTTAATCATATTTTAACTTAAATGTAAAGTCAATATAACGTTTAATTGATCGTCTAATCCGAATCAATCGTTTCTATGTTTGGTCACAGGTTAGCCTATTTATTTTGGCTAGATGAATCAATAATTATTAGAGTAAGTCAGATTAATAATCGCTCATTTAGTTTCATTTCTTTGTACTTATTTAGTTTATCTACTAAGTACACCGACATGTCTTTGATGATCATACGTATATGATCATAAAATCTTCTACAATACATCCTGTTATTTTATAGATGAGTCTTACGTTCACTACGTCATACTTTTTAAACTAAATGGATTAGAGTATGAGGAACTAAATATTTCCTTAAAATTTAGAAGTAAATTGTCTAAGATATTGGTTTTGAGTTATTATAAACAAAGTTTTACTTAAAACCTGATAATGTAATGCATCATTTATCAACACTATTGCGAAGAAAAGTCAATGGAAGTAATACAAGCCAAGAAAACCCAAGACATTTTAACGAGACTACGTTCATTTTCTTCATTTACATGACTGCAATTATTTTTGAATATTACTAATACATTTTGGAAATCAGTGCACTAATCAGATAAATAGCCACTACTTAAGAGTCCTATTGGTTTTGCTCAAAGCTCTATCATGCTCCAGTCACTGTTTTAATTCAGTGCAATAACTAGCATGTTTTTCATATGCCTCTAGTCAATCGTTTTCACAATATATTCAATCTTGACTGTTCACTCATTCGCTTGATGCTTTTAGTTTGACTTTGTCCCAAAAATTTTTGACATAATCTTGATGTGGTATCGCCTTTTATCATTATCTTTTTTTGGTAAAAAAATTTTATCCAGAAACCCTCAAACAACGTGATTTACAAATCTTAGAACTTACGATGAAAATAGAACAACTTGAGGGTTTACCGAAAAGTACTAGTCGATGTGATTCTGTCAGTCATGCCGGATATATTGCAACAACAACAGCGTTGACAGAGTCATCAAGTGATTCGGTTGATGACCCTACAAAATATTGTTTAGGTGACAAACAGTTCGCATCTAATAAACAACATGATGTAAGTCAAACGAATTTCTCCCATATCTTTTATGATACGAACAAAAAAGCACTTGATGCACATTATTTTAGTGCTTATGCTTTCTACGGATTCGGTATTTTTATTTCAGAGCTTTATCTATTTTTGAGCTACCACGTACCCAAACTCAGTTTCTGATACAGCTGTGATTAGTCATCAGTTTATAGTATATGTCTGAAATTTGGGACATATTCTGCAACAGTGAAAATTGATAAGTCTTGCTAAATAAATGCTCGATCCGGTTTCCTAGCCGCTTCTAATAACCCCAGGCTAAATCTACACGACAGCTTGAATATAAGAGAAAAGGTACAAAGGCCAATGATAAGGATTTATTTAACTCACAAAATAAATCAAAGTGATTTAAAAATATACTACACTTTATGTGATTTATTTGCAGTTAGATTAACAGACAGATTTGTATAAATTAAACTGCGTTGTATTTAACGATAATAATTCATATATATCATATTATGCAATTAAGCATCTGTAATCCTTCCTAAAATGTTATTAGATCCATATCAGTTTCATATATCATTCCCACTCCAATTGATTGAGCTATTACTCGCTATATCAGAAATATTCCAAGGCAGTTTCTTATTTCAAATTTATTTTAATCGCATAATGGACCCATGCGTGTTTTACAAATGCTAACGTTTTACGAATAGTGGACTAGTCAACATATCCCAGTTCTATTCTGTTATGATCAGGTAGGGTTTGATTTATACCCTCAAGATTACTGTTCGTACAATCTTTTGATTAATCACAACATTATATTTGTTATCCATCAAAAATAGTTGTTACTGACATCTTAGTTCATAAATGTGTGCATATTTAATTACATTTCATATTTACACATTGGACTTGACAATTTAAAAGTACTCAGCTGCCTCCTGTGTTTCTTTTTGTGGTAACATCCTTCAGAAAAATGACATTATCCTCTTACCATATTTTTCATTTATTACTTGCCGAGATCACCTCAGTATCATCGACTCATTAAGTTAGTGACTAAAGTATGATCTTAATTTGAGTCCTTAAGTATTTTCTTTAATTAAAACACGCATAATAATTTATGCCCATAGTAAAATTAATCAAGAAACAGCCTTTTGCTGTTTTTTTGAACACTGACTTCAGGCTTCTTAGGATTCTTATTCTAAAAGAGTTATTTATTTGAATGTAATAAACTAGTAATTGATTTTATATATTGTAATCATATTATTGATGAGAGAAATACTTCCATAAAATTGATTCTTATTATTTCTAGGTGTCATCTCTGCTGCCAACATGCAATATAGGGCAATTGTTTACTAGTACCTCGACAAATACACGTGGTAACATACTTGTCCACTCTGACTCAGTAAAGCATGATAATAGTGGTAGTAATAATACTTTTTTACAGACTTCTAGATTTTGTGCATCAGCCATCCCATCCATAACTTCATTCACAGACTTTGCAAGCTATAATTACCCCGCAATTTATGCTCATACAACTTATCATTATAAAGGCAAACAGAATCTAATCTTCACAAGACCTGCTACTACTACTTTCCACACTAACTTATCTTCATCTTGTTTGTTGACTTCTCGAATATGTTCCTCCTCGTCGTCGTCGTCATCGTCATCTACAAATATGAGCTGTGCGGTGCATGCAGACGTACAGACACTCAATAACTATAAAGAATCATCTGTTATTACATCAATCAACAGTAGCTGCCCAATTGTACATCAACTACATCACCGGGAATAGCAGCAATAACCGCCTGCTGATATAAAGTAATTCACTACATTCATTGTCGTTATAATTATACACGAATTTATGAGTGTTTTTCCTAACTTTAAATGAAGATACATGTACCTGTGAGATATATATTACTTTTTTTTCATGAAAATAGCGTTATATTAAAAGAGAGAGGTTTCATTATTGTTTGCTTTTTTATTGGTAATTCTTCTGATACCTGTTAAACAGTTAGTAAATTCCCGTAAAGTTGGCAAATATTTGAAGTTGTTCGCGTTCAATACAAGTATTGGTTGGACCCATACTCACCATGTTAATGCATCATATCAATATCTATAACCTCCAATCAGATTTTATGATTATACCTAACCCGTATGTCACAATCGTAGCCTAAATGTTGATAAGCCAAGAAAAAATTACTTCCTTTTTGATAATAAATAGTAATGACTGTATTCCTAACTAAGTTTCCATTGAACTCCCTTCAGCATCATCCTCTCACGGGCGTATGCGGCTCTACCCAAGAGAGAAAGCAAAGACAAGGGAAATGACTACGCAACAGATTAGATCAGTTGCACGAACAACAGAATAGGTCTGAAGTAATAAACCGGAAAATTATTTCACTACTGGACCACTAGGCTCGTTCGTCGACATTTGTATTGTATCATCAATTGTTGCTGATAATCATTTACGTTGGCGGCTTAAGCAACAAATGTACCTCAGGTGTCATGACGGTCCGAACGTTGCTAATCTTGATCACACCTTTGTACGTTTTTAGAATTTCCCTTACCGATAATACCAAAGACTAACGGGTCCTTCAGTGATAATTTTCCCACTGTTCATTCCCCAGTTCTCATTAGATCTGTCAGTGTCAGATTTTTTGTGAGTTCACAAGAAGTGCGTTCTTGAATTTGACTACCTTTCAAAACTTACTGCGTGATAATTACATCGATTTATCGGTAACTTTTATTTTCCTAACTTGACTGTGCTCATTGGAATACGGCTTTCGATCAAACGTTAGTGGAAGTTTACGGTATTTTGCATTTCCCCTAGTTGTTGGTGTTCGTAGTTTTACAACGGCTGTCTATTTTTATAGCTTTTATCTACCATCTTAATTGGATGTTTTCCTGAACTCTATCCAAATACTAAGGGTTTTGCGTAAATATAACAGTTTGATTCAGAATATTGAGTCTTCTAAGTTAAGTAGTATATGTTTGAGATCAATATGATTTTCACGTTGCTTTGCCATGCGATTCCGGGTTACGTCGATCTGTAACAGCTTCGTCTTTAGAAATGGTATATGATCAATATCAGTGTTGAATAACGAATGCAACAAAACAAACTAGAACTGAACGATCGTTCTCACTAAATTTGGGCTTAGATCTATCACACTAATTTCATGCGTTTTCGTGCATTACATTTGCCCACGGTTTTCTGAACTATCATCTTGCCTGCATACAGATTTTCTAGTGACAATGTATCCCCACACTTCCGGTTTTTCGTGAGGCAGTTTTACCTTTTTGAAATCAACAATTATTGGTATACTATTGGAACGCTTTTAATAAAAGTTCTCAGTGTAAATATCTATTTGGTAAGCAATGTTGTGATTTTGTTCAGAGCTGATTCTTTCGATTCGATAACTTTATTTTGATACCAGGCAATTGTAAACAATCGGGCAAAACCCCTAAAGGTTCTGGCACAGATAAGCCAAAACTACTGATACCCCACACCGAAAAGTGTCGATTAGCACTAAATCTGGAAGTAATGCTTCTTATTGGCTGTTTCTAACCACAATGCGGATCCCCCTTTTTTCAGTGCTAACCTAATTATTTACCGTTAGCGTTATTTAAATCCGACCTCATTAACCTGACTCCGGTCATGTATGCTTCATATGTCTGAAGTTGTGCGCATAAACCTTCGGGATAAATAATCTGAATTATGAAGGAGCGTCCTGTCATGCACTTATTTTGTAATTGTCATAACATGAAAGCTGACTTAACTTCCGTCACCAATGTTTCATAAAAATTGAACAAGATTAGTATGGGTTTTAAAGTCAAATTACTAACTCCTTCCATTCATTATCATCTCAACATCATACTTAAAGAGTTCCAATAATGTCACCTTTCAATTCCGTTGAACTAAAAACCTTCAATAGTTAATGAACTAAAGTTTAGCCTGAATAAACATGGTACCTAGTTAACTTATTAAGAAGAGAGTTTTCATAATATTATTATACGAATGTACAAGTGATTATGGGATCAGTGTTATCTTATGATAGAGAAGCATGGACTGTACGCTCTAGCTGACAGACTGTGACGGTAAATTGATTCCAAAGACAAGAAGCTTAATAAGCCTTCGATGTTGACTCTGTTCCTTTTAGTTTTACTGGACACATCTAACTAAAGGCGGTAGTTCAACTATCCTTTCTAAATCACGTCTGGATGCTTCTTGCAGCATATCTCTTATGATATCTAGTCAGCTCAGAATCCATACACTACGATGCATCGACCTGTAATTCAAGCACACTTTCATATCCTATGATTATCGATTTCTGGTTCCATTAACTTAAGGATCATATTGAAACTATCCTCAAACTTTTAGCTACTGTACATTTTTGGTTTGTCTATCACAAGATTGAGTGAGAATTTTCTGGACATTTGATGTGCTCTCAAAATGAAAATAATTCTCAATTTTATCATGAGTTGATTTAGTTCTTTTAGATCCAGAGCATATTTTGTCAATCATAGCTTAAATTGTTGCTGCCTAGCATTCTTGATTTGTTTCGTTGTACTCTATGTTATTTCTGAGATCTGCCATTACCTTGAGTACATTTTTGCCGTCTTCTGGTAATTAGCAAGATCTTGTGCAGTTTTTACCACATATATGTCACATTTTCGAAAGAATCACCACATATCGACGACCTTCAAGGCTTAAATCTCATTGGCTGTGTACATTTTGGTGTTAGAGGAAATCATTGCTGAATAAAGAGGCTGTAGATCCGTCCTTATGGAAGACGAGGATTAACGGTAGTGGGCACGTGTGCAGACCGTGGGGATACTGACAATGTCGTAGGTTCAGTGACATGGAGCGCAATAAGAGATTTAACTGTGGGACGTTAGTTTTTGTTGAATTACACTTACTATGAGGTCTTGCAGATAGACATCTTTCGTAGATGAAGTTGACTTTCTGTCAACGGATCTAGAGTAAGAGTTTCCACTTCCAGAGCTTCCTCATGAAGTTTGACTTGGTTGGTATTCGCTTTGTATTTTAGGATATTGCTTTTTCTCATGTGAATGTTAAGGCCTGCTGCTGTAGAGACTGCTACTACTTTGGCTGTCTTCACCCGTGTTTGTTGCTGTGAATGGGATAGAGCGGCTAAGTCACCTGTGAAGTTCAAATAATCTAACTGCACCCAAGCTATCCACTGTATTCTGTGATTCTTCTGAGATATGGAGGTCTTCATGATCAACTTAACCAACGGAAGAAAGAGAAAGGGGGAGAATGAGCAGCTTTGTCTGTCATTGGCCTTCACTTGGAATACATTTTTGAACTGCCCTCCACGCATAACTTTGCATTGTAGTCTGTTGTAAGAATTCCGTACGATTGTGACAATCTTCTCAGATAGATCATAGTGTCGAGGAAGGTCCCATGAGGTTCTCTTATCCACTCTGTCGAGTGCTTTTCTATAGTCAAGTAAGTTGGTGCGTAGTGATGAGTCCCACTCGATTAATTGTGTCGCCATTTGGTCGATGCATAGTCGATCCTTAGAAAATCCAGCACGTTTGTCTAGAAGTTGAACCTGTACTGAATCTTTCATTCGGTTTAACAACACCGTTTTTGGAACAATTCCAAGAAAGCATCACCTTTGGGATAATGAATAAAATTTGTAGCCTTGATGAACGCTATTAGTGACGCTGAGTCTTCCAACCCAAATGGCTTAGTCGCAGAGCATTCATTGTCATTCTAAACAATGTCTTCAGCACCTACATGAAGTATACTTGACTAACACTGTCAATTCACAGTAAATTTATTTTTCTATCTCCAACCCAAATGTGTTATCTAGAAACTCCAAACATATTGCTGATTGTTAGGATACCACAAGTCAGAATAGATGGTGATGTGACTTCCGTGTTAGATCTTATAAATTAGGTTTTCACATCATGACAAATCTACAATTTTTGGATCAGGTGTATTATTCCGGTAATATTGATTAGTACACATAGATTACTATCTCAGTTAATATTAATAACTGGTCATTCAATATTTGTTATTAGCTACGATGATTCATTACCAAGCCTTAATAGCATTAACATTCTTCGGTGAAACAAACCTATTAAAATATCAAGCACTAGCATACTTGGCCTTTCATTGACGTAAATACACACTGACTAGCTATGTCAACAAAGACTATGTCGTTATCTGAATATAACTCTTTATCTCGTTCATTAATTTAAAATTTCACTTCATTTTAATTTATTGACCATCCCGTAATATCGTTTTTTTTTCCGCGCACTGCCTGCCAGCTCAAGGAATGTATCCAACATCTTCGTCTAATATGTCGCTTGCGAATCGACTAAACACAGCAGGTCTTGTTACAACCACTAAGACATAATCCAAACGTCACGATATTCATAACTCTAACTGTTTTGAAAAGGCGAACATAGAAGGTCAAGTTACCTATGTTGATCTTTGCATTTTGTAGAACTTTGAAGACCCAAATTTGCATTAGGTATATCAACAAAGGGCAGTTATGTTATATGTTCTGGTTATGAATTCCAGTGACTGACCACTTGACGGAAATATCACACTCCACACTCGAGCTATTCGATTCCAGCTTTTGAACCCCGAAGGCATTATTTCAGATGATTGGTCCGAAATAGAAGGAAAACAGTGTATGTATTAATACCAAAGTTGGGGTTCAGAGTACAGTAACTAGTAATAAATCACCAAGCAGCTCGCAATCAGACAACGGTTGATACACTTCAGGCTGTTCTAATCAGAAAGGTCTAGGTAACTCTCCACCTTATTATTCGTCAGAATTTGAATCCGTACCTGAAAGCAAATCCTTGCAACAAATAGCGGTGAGGCTTTAACATTGGTGCTGATCTTATTAGTTTTACCGGACGCACCTAACTAAAGGTGGTAGTTCAACTATCCTTTCTAAATCACGTCTGGATGCTTCTTGCA